AAAATATCAAGGAGGAATACAAGTATATGTGTAAAAATACCTATAAACCCACCAGCTAAATTATCTAAAGCAAGTTATAAAATAAATCCAATTTAATTTCCTAGAAATGCATACTTTGTGTAATCCTATGAAGTGGACATAAAGTGTTACCCTCTCAAAACAGTAGCTCTATAAATTATCTTCAGTGTGTCTATGCAGAGTAACCGATGGAAGACTATCATGTCTTCTTATTATAAGCATAACAGTTGTGGGAACCTCACACCTTCCATGTAATGTCAGTTATTAGCTAATTAACAGTGTTGTGAGCTGGATTGGCCATCCATGGTCAGGTGTATTTGACTTCTTGCTATTCTGTTGAACACTCAGTTCCTCAACAGAATCCACCAGCACAAAAGCAGGGAAGGATCTGCAGGTTCATTGTCAGTTTTGAAGCAGTCATACAGGGTTACTGGTTTTAATTATTTTCACACTGTTCCTTAATTTATTTGATCTAGTGTGGAGCTATTCATTGTAGAAATTTGATTCCATTTTGGGACTGTTCCAGTGGATCGAGTTTCTAGCTCCACCAATCTTAGGTACTTTGGTCCCTGCCCAAGTCCTTTCAGGTGTGACTCTGATTAAGGCAGGAACTCAGGCTTCAGTACTCAGCTGTTTAAAATTAGAGGAGACTATGTGGCCAATAAAAGGCTCCCTTACTAAGCAACTGCTCTTTAGCTCTGCTGAGAAAAGGTAATGTAGTGGGGGTGAACAGTCCTACAACCCTAATTTTGTTTGTAGCTACCAACTTCACTGTAGAGGTTGAGATTGTGAGTAGGGAAGGAGATCCCAGTTTCCTGCAACTGCAGAATTGAGAGGAGAACCTGAGTTGCCTTCAGATGAAGTGCCTCATGTTGATGCTTGTAAGTAAAAGTTTTAGTACCTAGATTTAATTTTCAGGAATAAGGTAGGCATTGGAAAGCTTAATCCTTACTGAAAAGTCAGTTGGACTTTAGCTCTGACATGTCTAAACTCATCTAGATGCTGGTTAATTTTTTTTAAGGGTTTAGTAGTCAGTGCTCATTTATCAGCAGCTCCAGTCATTTATCAGTCAGTGAGTATATTCACATGTGCAATAGAGGTAGCAATAATGCTTTGTTTTCAGAAAGCAGTTTCAACCAGGAAAATAAAGGACTGCTAATAAAATTTTAATTCTTAAAATATTAAACCTAATTGAAGATGCTTAAGCTTTAGTTTTTTTCTTTCCAGCCGTTATCAGCTGGGAAGAACTTGCACTATGAAAGTAACTTTCTGGTTTGATCCTTTATGGGAATCAAGTATTAATAAAGAGCACCAACATCTATCATGACTTTCTTTTCCAAAGAATAAACACATTCACTGAACCATTTATTTGATGATTATTTATAGAATTCTATCTGGGCAATAGCTTGTAATAGTAAGTTCTGCCGGGCAATTATAATGAACTTTAAAAGTGCTTGTGAATGCAATAAACAGCTAAATTTTACCAAGGGCATTATTGTTGCATCTGTTTGCTTTGTGCTGCAACATAGTGTAAAAGGAATTACTAATTCTGTTTCTTGATAATAATCTAATGTAACATTATCTTACATATTTCTGGGTTTAACCATCAAAACAGAGGGAGTGACCTGCATGATCATGTCTTATTTCTGTTTCAGAAGCTCCCATATTTCTAGTAATATTCATGTCTTTGTGTTGTTTCTATTCTTGCTGTATATTTGTGAGTAATTCAGATTTTCATACAGTAGTATAATACCAGAATTGTCACAATTTTTAGCATTTAGGTTTAGTTAGAAAGTAGACTGTTACATTGTGTTCTTGACTTGGCTTTTGTGATAGAAAAAGAAAGCTGAAGGCAACTCTGCCACTAGGGAAGCACAGAGAAATACATCAGAACAGGTTCAATGAATAAAGATAAAATGCATTTTCCTGGGTTTTTAAACACACACCTGCAGTTGCTTGCTAGCAATTATGCAGCAGTGACTGAGCTCCATTTCTATTTGTATTCATATTTTTAAAAAAAGTCAAGCACTAAACAGCACACGTCTTCTCTGCTGCTGCTTAAGTGTTACTACCAAAGGTAAGAAGAGAAGAAAGAGTTGGGAAGGATAAAGGGAGGCACAGGGGCTGAAGACAATAAGTAACATTATATGCCATTTTCAATTATTTATACTCAGAGTAACTAAACAGAGAAGTTATTATAAGTATGTTTTATACTTTTCTGTTTCCAAAATCACTATAGTATAAACCAAGGAAAATAGCAGACTTGAAAATATATATTTCATACATACTTTACTTGTTTAGGGCCTAATTTAGGCTCACTGAAATAAAAAAGAATTTAGTCATTAATTCCAGTGGGGTTTTCACAGCTCCTGATGTGAAAGGAGAAAGAAGTATGAATATACTGCATTTTTAAGATAGAAAACATACAAGAAAGCTTTTCAGAAAACAAATAAACCAAAGTATGCTAGCCAAAAATCTATTTGAAGATGAAAACTGTTGAAAAGTGTAAATCTTAGATATAGCATCAAGTGGCACTTTATAATATAAATACTGGTTTAAGTTTTACAACAGCCTGCTTTCCTCTAACAGTTGGCTGAAAGATATGTTTAGTAGTTAATAAGAACCTCTTACAAAAAAAAAACCAAACCAGGAACAAAGTGGTAGTTTGCTCATGTGATCTGACTCTTTATGCTTAATGGCTCCCACCTGCATCATGGCACCAAGGACAACACAGGTGGTCCTGTGATTAGACTGAAATGAGAACTTTCATCAGCTACAGAGAAGTCAGCCTTAAATACCTACTGTTGTTGTTATCCTACCCTTTGGATTCCAGCATTCTCTTGAATGTAAAGAATGAATATTTTTGAAGGGTTTGGATTATGTGACCCTGAGGTTCTTTGCATGGATGTTGTTTCTTCTAATACAATAAGTAGATTAGCTGTAAAATTCTGATCACTTTTTTCCTCTTCACTTGAGCTGCACATTTTCCTCACAACTCTTTTTGAGTACAATTCAGCAAAATATTTTTTTCTCCACGAAGCTCTGCACCAAATGGTCTTGTCCATAGTGGGTATATTCTGTTCTTTGGCACCAGTAACACTGACAGTCCCCTTGCAGATGGTCTGCTGCTCCAAGATGGTCCATGATTAATTCTGCTATAAAGTTTATTGAATGATAGCAAGCTTAATTCATTGCAATATTATTGCGGCCTTATGGTAACTCTCTGCTGTCTTCCCACAGTGATTATTTCTTGGAAAGAGGATTCTTGGGCTACTGGTCTTCTGTCAGAGTGCTCCTGACTTTTGCCAGCTCTCACAAGGCCCTTAATCTTTGCCAGTGAATGAGTCACAAAACAGAAAAAGCAGAACCTGATGTTTTTTGTCTTTTCACATAGACAGGGATGGTGTGACATGTTTTTTAGAAAACTGTCAGCAACTGACACCACTTAGAACAAAAGTCCTGTCATCATTAACAGTACTGAGATAGAATTGGATGTAGCAATATTGAGACAGGTCTGTAAGATATTCTCATTGCACACTAAATCCAAATTAAGCACCAAACTTCTGAAAATGGACACTTCTTGTGCTTTGAAGCATTCAGTGTAGTGACCCACATTTTATAGTGTTTATCCATTTCCTTAAGATGCAGTCTTGCTAGCTCTTCAAGAATACTCTTGTATTTACTTTTCAGATCAAGTGAAATTATTTGTACACAAAACCATTCCCTTCTTGTCAATTTCTCCAGGAACAGATTTTCTCTGTCCGTATTTTTCATGGTTTTGTAACTATTTTAACAGAAATGTCTTCAAGTAAATATGCAGATTTAAAAGCAACTGAAGTTTGCATTTTAATCATGGTTTATCCCATTACTTTGGACTTGGAAAATAAGTGTTTGCCCCCTATTGCAATTATAGCTGAGGTAGATACTGTAAGAGTGTGTCCCTTTCTTGGGGAAATACAAACTTGCTATACTTCTGCTTTGAATGGCATTCTAGCATCTCTGAATATATATTCATGACAGCCAACTCTTTCAACTGGCTTTGGATAGTTCAAATACAGCAATGAAGGGATTATGTTAATTGTAACTGTGATTGGTTGAAATCAATTTTATTTGACATAGGTTTTAGTAGTAATTCTGTGAAAGTTGTTCTTATCAATAATATTTAATAGTGGCATTTATAGGTGCATATGTGGGCAAGATGGAAATAAAATACAAATTACAGCAAAACAACTTCAGATCTCAAGTGCTTCCTATAATCATTATTATGGCAATGAGAGTAAGAAGAGGTAGATAAAATAGATTTTTGAAATTCTGTGTAGGGGAAGGTGTGAAGGTGCATTGAAGCTAAGGACTGTGATCACTTATAATTGTATACAGAGAAATTAAATTTAAAAAATGAGGGGAAAAATAGAATACGAACAAAACCTCAGTTCTTAGGATGAGAAGCCTGTGATGTTTTATAGAATCTTCTCTCACTCCCCTTAATACAAAAGAAATAAAATCTCAGGAAGAATTGTTAAGGCAGTTTTCTGATGGAAAAGGCTCTTCAGCTTTGCATGGCTTTTTATTCCCCCCCACCCCGCATACTGTTTTTTAAAAAATACAAATAAATATGTATGTCATTTTCATTTCTTTTACATTTAAGTCAAACCAGAGATTTAGCTTTCTTTTTTCTTCTGTGTATTCATGTACATACGGTAATGGATTTTTAGACATCATGTTCTTAAGCACCTGACTTCGAACATCTCTGGCCTTCAGGGAACGGGGACAAGAAAGCAAATTTGCCTCTGCAGTTTTGCGCAGACATAGGTGTATTTTTAGGCTATTTCACAATGAGTAACACACTTCCAGACGTTTGCTGGGTGGGGACTGGAACCCACGGGTTCGCAATGAATGGACAGAGACAAATGCTCTGAGAAATCACGGGCTGGCAGTGCGTGTGCTGCTGCTGCTGCTGCCCCCGGCGGCAGGACGAGCCGGTGGAGCCCCAGCTCCTCGGGAATGCTGGGAATGTTGAGTCAGGGACCGGCAACCCAGACAGCCAGGATCGCAGCTGACTGAGGGAGACTCGCTGAGGGACAGAAAGACGAGGGACAGGAGCACACAAGCCTCCCCCGACTGCAGCAGGTTCCCCCTTTTCCTCCCCTCGGAGGTGCTCGGTGGCTCCGGCTCTCCCTGCTGCCTCCTTCCTCCGCGCAGTGGGATGTCAGCTAAACGTGATGTTGTAAAATCCATGTGAGGACGAAAGACAGATGCAATGATTTGAAAGGTGAGAAGCTTAAGCAAGAATATGGCTGTAATACATGACTGTAAATTATTTGTGATTAAGGAAATTGCTGTGTATTGCTTTTTACAACTACCTGGTAGCTGAATCTGGAAATGAATTTGCAGAAAAGGCTTTTTATATTGCTTTAGAAATACATTGTAATAAATGGGACCAAGTGCACATCTTATTCTGGTAACAGAGTGCCTCTCCCTACAGAATCGTCAACCAGAAATCTCTCTTGCAATTTCTATTAAAAGCAGCCATAGGAGTCTTTTTTTTTTTTTTTTTTTTTTTTTTTTTTTTTTGGTGCCCAGTGTTTAAAAATATTATTGTTGTTGTTAAAGTTTTCTAGAATAGAACCGATGAGCTTTGTAAATTTTTAGCTTTATACCTAAATACTGGATAATGTTTGGTGTTTTAAAAACCATGTCAGGAAAAAGGTGAGAGATTTCTGTTCCCTTCTAGTGGCTGGCAAATGGAAAGAGAAAACTAACAGAATATTATTTTTCAGTTATATAATTAATGAATACTTACCAAGGTCCCTCATTTATGGTGCTGTGTGGTTTAATTTTTTTTTTTAAAAAGACCATTTTAGGCTGGACAAGAGTGATGGATATGATGCATATGATAAAATCCACGCATATATTCACCAAGGATACATACGTATTTTTTCTGGGAGCGCTAGAGTAGTAACGTGATGGAGAAGGATTTCTTTTTTTTTTTATTAGTGTATGATTGATTTCTAGGCGGCTACCTGCTAAGCCTTGTGATGGATGGATGGGAATGTACTCCCTTAGCGGCGAATTGCTGTTTCCCTGTTGATGGACACGCCAGCCGACCACTGGCATCGGCAGATATGTGCTCGTTGCACATAAGCACGGCCAATAAGTGCAGCCAAGAGGAGGGCAAATCCTACTTGCCAGGGCTAGTTTTCTGGTTGGCTTTTTAAACCAGCGGTTTCACTTGACTATTTGTTTGTTTGGCATTTGTTTTTATGTCCGATTCCCGTGCCCGCATCCCCCGGGTGCGTGTCCAGGGCGGCCGCTCCGTACGCGGCCCCTTCCCGGAGCCGCACCGGGCGCAGGCCCTGCTCGGCTCCCCCTCCTCCGGAGGGCGGGGAAGGGAGGGAGGTCCCCCCTCCATCCAGTCGCTTCTCCCCGGCACTCCCTTTCCCTGTGGCCAAGTCGAGGACGGAGCAGATCCCCCGTCTCGCCCTGCCCTGAGGGGAGATGCTGAGGAGATGCGCTACCGCCCTCCTCCCGCTTCAGGGAATCGCGGAGCTCCACGGCGTGGATTCAGGGCCCTTTTCCAGCCGCGGGGGCACTGGGGACCTGGGACCCTCCTCCCATCCTCGCTGCTCGCCAGCGAGAGGGGAGAAAGCCCGACCACCTTCCCGGCCCAGCTCCCCCGCAGGCGGCTGTGTCACCGCAGCGCGTCCCTACAGGGAGCTCTAAAGCAATCCCGCTGCCAGGGGGACTTCCTTGCATCCTCCCCACTGCTGTCTCCAGCTCCGCCGGTGCCGACCCTCGCGGCCCCGCCCTGCCCTGCCCGGCCCCGCTCCCTTGGCCACGGGCGGGCGGGGATGGCGAGCGCTCCTGCAGCGCAGGGGAGGAAAACACCAGCGGCAGAAACTGCCGGCAAAGCGAACCAGGGCTCTCGCAGCCCCAGTCCTTCCACGGGCTCATCTGCTTGAGCAGGGTGTTTCCCCGTTTCTTCCTTTCCCTGAATACGAGGAGGAAAAGGTCCCTTTTTAGAGTCTGTCTTTACACACGGAGTGTGTAATGGTAAATTATTCCAGTTCCCTTAAGGAATATGTTTCTGAGGGAAAAGCTCTGTTACAGTTTCTCGATGGAAGAAACTTAGAGAAACTTGGCTTCGTGAGTGACTGTGTTAAGGGCCGTGTGTGAAAGGAACTCCAGATTTCAGTGGTTTAAAGGAAAATAATTCCATTACTGTCACTTTTGTTTGAAAGTTCTGTATAAATACAGCTTTCAAAGGCATCGAGGTGAGTTAGCACTTTCACTTTTCCTACAGAAATCTAGGGGAAGGAGAGGCTTTCTGTCCTGTGAGTGAAGGGAACATAATTTCTTCCTCCAAAGAATCTTGGTCCCTCCGATTTATGGCTGCCCAGCTCAGGTTGAAACGAGATGTTTAAACTATGGAGGAACCCCGTGCATAGGTCTTACAACCACACCTAGGGCGGGGTAGACCTTGCAGTTAAGAACTGAGAAATATCTTATTTTGTGTTTGAGTGACTTACTGTACTCATTATCCTTTTTCTTGTGGTCTGACTGCATTTGGAAGAGACCCATCTTGTCACCTCTCTTATTCCTCCTATTAAACTCCCCCGACCCACTGGTAGTCAAATTCTGATGGCTGATAGTGTAAGGTAGAATTGCCTTTGCCAGTTCCCTCTCCTGTTCCTTGACTGCTCTGAAGGCTGTAGCAAGGTGTGGGCCATATTCTTAGCAGCCAAATATGAAGTGAACACATTCAACCATCTTAGAGTGTCAAATATGTGTGATATTTAGAGAGTTAGCTATTCAGCATGCGTGTTTTTGTGAAAATATGCTCAAGGTGATTTTTTTATTTTTTTGCCTTGGAAAGATGATTCCTGCAGACCTTTGAAGGATGACTAACAAAAAAGAGTGGGTTTTTCACCCCTCAAAGAGAGTGAGGCAATCAGCCTGTGTATCACTTCCAAAGACAACATATGCTCTCCCACCTGTATCTCTTATGGTGCTTATTATATTTTTATCTGCTATGATGCATTTGTTACCCTTTCTGTTTAATTTAGTTTGTAATGTCTAGGAGATAGATTGTTAGTCAGATCCACCCAAAAATATTACTGATACTAATTTTAATTTTTTTTTAATTTTTATAACATGACTGCTCTTTTATCTGTGAGATTGTTCAGTTTAGGATTGCTTTAAAATATTTTTGTGATTTAAATTTCACTTTTTGAGTGATCATATGCACTCAGCAATGATGAGTTTGCCTCAACTTATTTTGCAACACTAATGCTAGTTTATATTTTCTATAAAGTCTTGGAAAAAGGGTAAGAATTACTTTTAAAGCAGAATGAATTTACAATTTCTTTTTAAGGGTCATAGTTGGTCAGGGGAAAATAGCGCTGCTTCTTCTGAGTGATACCTTCACATTATGAAAATGCAAAGTCATTAGCAAAAGCATCAGTTAAATATTCTTCTGGTTTTGTTTTTAATTAGTCACTTTTTAAAAATGTAATGCATTTTATAAAGAAACAGTCTTTTGCAATCTTTTGAAATCAAGTGAGATGGATTTTATGTTGGTTTGTTATTGCTTGTATGCGAGATGTGGAAAAAAACCCACCTACTTCCTTATTTCTTTTGAAAATGGCTGTGGACTAGTTCTGGAGGTCCAAGAAAGTTTATAAGCGTGGATATCCAATGAATGTTTGTATAAGAAAATGTAAATGTCTGATGAATTAACATTGCTGGTCTAGTATTTGTGTTGTTGCTTTCTTGGCTGTTGATCTCAGAGAGTTTTGTGACTCATTAGTGATAGAGGTTTTTCCATGCCCGACTTAAGAATGTCTGAAATACACAGGTTTTGTTTTGGAGTAATTGCAACAATTAGGAACACCAACCTCATCTCCTTTCAGAGACAGTTTGTCAGGTGCTGAGCTCTCTCAAAAGAGAGAACAGTAGCAAAGATGTTTTAACATTTCTCTGGATAAGGCTCTATTACTGTCACACCTTTTTTATTCACAGAAATGTGGAATTCCTGCATGGTATTAGAAATGTAGACTTTGCTGTGGACAGTTTACACATTTGGAAAGTTGTGTATCACTACAATCCCTTTACTTTGTAATGAGAATGAGGGAGAATGGTAGTGTCTGAGTTTCTGTGCTTTTAGGAAAGCAGAAGGAATGTGTCTAAGGATTTGAGGTATACATCAGAGTTTCAACTTGTGATTGGATGTGTGGGAGTCTTTGACATTTGGGATGTTTAGCAAAGCCGAAGCTTTTTTGTGAAGTTTTAAGACTAGGTTCCTGAAAGGGGTTACCTGCTCTCTAGGCTGTCTTTTCTAGACTATCTTAGAAACTTATTCTAAGACAATCTTGCAGATTGGAAATGCTTTGGGCTAGTTAACGTGTGGCTTCTTTCATGACCAATGTGCTTTTTATTTAGTTCAAATGCTCCATTTTCAGCAGATACTCTTGGGGTTTTTTTTAAGTGTCTCACTGCTTGTCCTGCTCATTATCCTGTCCCTCTGACTGAAGCCACAATACAGATGTAGAATCTAGCAGCCAAATTCTACAGAAACCAAAAATTTTGAGTTATATTTTAGAATTAAATAACTTTAAAAATATCTTAAATTTTGTGAGAAATGCCATGGGACAATGAAAGGAGTAAAAAGGTCAGTGAGATTGGTGTATATATAAATACATATTGTATAGGTATGTGTGAAAATGATGTGCTGTAATTTCTGGGATAACTGCAGAGCTGAGGTGGGAAGTCACAAAAGAAAGCATTGTCTATAATGATTGCTTAGCTGGATATAATGTGCAATTTGTTTTGAAGGAAGTGAAAGAAATGTAACAAAATTCTCTGCCATTTCTGAATTTAGTCCAACAGATCACGTTGCACAGAACATTGGTAATATGTGGGACAGTTTCCCTCCAAGTAAATAGCTTGGATCACTTGGGATGAATGCTGACTTATTCCTGTTCTAATGGAGGTTTACTGTGTCCGTACTTTTGGTTACCCCATTTGGCATCCACTTGGGTTGTCCCATTGCAAAACATAACAAATTGAATGGAGACTACAGTGCTTGAATTCTCAGGAACTGATATTTCTTTATTGAGTATGAGTTGAATCCTGTTGGATATTGTGCTGATGCTTCTTCAGTTTTCACTATTGTTATCTAAGCACTTTTCATGGTCAGTAAAATTAATTTGCTGGTAATCTGCTAAGATATATATTTCATTATCTCTGGTATGTACAATGTGTGAATCATTT